CAGATGCACACACACTTAACCTCTTAAGGACACATGACATGTGTGACATGTCATGATTCCCTTTTATTCCAAAAGTTTGGTCCTTAAGGGGTTAAAGGACCACTACAGACACCCAAATCACATCAGCTCAATGAAGTGGTCTGGGTGCCAGGTCCCTCTAGTTTTAACCCTGCAGCTGAGGGTTAATCCAGCCTCTAGTGGCTGTCTCATTGACAGCCGCTAGAGGAGCTTCCGCGATTCTAAGACACTGAATGTCCATAGGAAAGCATTGAGTAATGTGCATTCGGAGCTGAGAGGCGGAGGGATCTCCAGCACTGGAGAAAGGTAAGTGCCGAAGACACACACACACACACTCTCTCAAACAGATGCATACACACTAGCTAACAGACAAACACATTTACTGACAGACACACTCAGCGACAGACAGACATACACACTCACTTACAAAACATACACTCTCACTGACAAACACACACTCACTAACAGACATCAAACAGACTCACTAACAGACATCAAACAGACTCTCTAACAGACACACACAAACATACTCAGTAACAGACACACAGTAACACACTCACTGACACTAACTAGCAGACACACACTCAATAACAGACACACACTAACACACACACTCTAACACACACACACTCTAACACACACACACTAACACTAACACACACTAACGCACTAACACACACGTTTGTTTTTTTTGTTTTTAAACGGGCCCAGTCGCAGCCATGACCCCTGCAACCCCGGTATGTACGCCACTGTGTGTCAGGGTGTGTATCTGTGTGTGTGTAATGTTATATTATTTAAAGTAATATTTATAGGATCCCAATAAGCCTTTAACTGCAGAAATTAAATATAACTGAGCTGACACTTTATCATCATTGAACATTAGCCAGGAACTGCATTGTTATTTCTGCTGTTATATGTCTATCTCTTTAACCACAATACAGTGTGTATTTCCATGTCTGTAGTTATTTCAGGTCTCTGAGTTATTAAGTGAAGGGTACTCATCTATTCAGTGGGGTGGGTTCCCCATAAATAGAAGTTGCACTGAGTGCGTCAGAACCAGATGTCCCGATCTCCCAACTATAGCGGAGGCTCAGGATCCCTGTCAGTGACAGAAGAAGGTGAAACTGCTGCTGGCTATGGCTTGTTGCCAGGAGCAGGGCAAAAAAGGGTTACATATCTTTATGTTGTAGAATAAATGTAATAATTCTTTATAGTAAACTGTTTTTTAGATTTCCTGCAACATCACTTCACTTTACAATACCACCTGCTGTTTGATGTTTGGCACATTTAGTCATAGGCGGCTCTAATTAAGCGATTTAGGCAGCTGCCTAAGGCCTTGGACTCCCTAGTGCCTTGCAGCTGCCTAACTCACCTAACTGGAGAATAGGGGAGGCAGTAGAGGGCCATTACCAGAATGCTGCCCACTATTAGTAGGTGCAAGGAGCGACAGCAGTAGGCTGCTCCTTGCACTGCCACAGAGTCAGAGAAGGGAAAAGGAGCACCAGCATAGGTGCTGAGCATCAGATAATATTGCAGGTGGCCCCCATTAGGAATTATCTGTACTAATTGTACTAATTGTTAAAAGTTTGGGCAAAGGTGTAATCTGTGAAGAATCTGGTCTGTACTTGCCTGACTATACCAGCCAGCTCCTTCACACTGAAAAACATAAGAAGGGAGGGATCAGGAAATTCAATATAAGCCCCTCTCCTCCCTCAGTAAAGCTTCATCACACTGCATGAGAGCTGCTCTCTTCTGGAATGAAAGATAAGGTGATGCAGTTCCCAGAAGTCAGTAGCACTGGACCACAAGGGTACATGGCCTAAAATGTATTGTGCTTTGCGAGAGAGACAAACAGAGATGGGAGGAGAGATGGAAACTGAGGTTTAAGGAGAGAGAGAGAGATGATGCCTGGTGGGGAGAAAAAAATAGTTTTGGGAGAGAGGGAGATGGAGCTGGATATGAGAGAGTGAGATGGAGCTAGGTTGGAGAGAATAAGCTGGATGGGAGAGTGGGAGATTGAGCTGGGTAGGAGAGAGGGAGGTGACACTGGATGCAGTTAGGGGTAAGATATGAAGATGGAGCTGAGGATGAGGAGGAAAATAAACTGGGTAGGAGCGAGGGAGATGGAGCTTGGTAGGAGAGATTCAGATTTAGCTGGTAGGACTGAGGAAGATGGAGCTGATGGGTGAGAGTGATACAGAGCTGGATGGGAGGGAGGGAGATGGAGCTGAGTTGTGGAGAGGAAAATAGGGGTGAGTGGTGAGAGGGAGCCGGGGTGGGAGATGGTGCTGGGTGGGAGGGAGAAAGATGCAACTGAGAGGCGAGAGAGGGAGATGGAGATGCTGGGAGCTACGGAGGATGGAGCAGAGGGATGAGAAGTAGATAGAGCTGATGAAGATTGATGGGACAGAGGCGGTTGGAAGGGAAAGAGGGAGATGGAGGGGCTAAAGGGAGATGGAGCTGAGGGGTGAGAGAGGGATGGAGGGGACTGATGGAGATGGAGCTTGAGAAACAAGAGATGGAGCTGGAGAAGAGGGAGATGAAGTTGAGTGGTAGAAATGGAGATGTAGTTGAGGATGAGATGTGAAAGGAGGGAAGAGATGGAGATTGGAGAGAGAGGCGGAGACACTGCTTGTAAACAGAGGTTTACAGGGCAGCATTCAGGAGAGTACAGCCCATAATCTGTTTAGTGGACCTACAACTAGGAAGAAGTGATGTCTATTCATCCCATTACTCAGAGGGGGCCATGTGGGAATAAACACGGCCCCCTGAGTACAGCTCGCTATTGGTGCCAGATCCCCACTGGACCACAGTGAAGCCACTCAAACACAGTACATTTCAAAGTTTATTTTTGCGTTTGTCTCTGTCAGTCCTTATGTGCTTATCAGTGTGCATGTCTGTTAGTGTTTCTGTGCCTGGAATTTGGAATTTGTAGAGCGTTGTGATATGGTGTTTGGGCACTGACCTCCATGGTTTGTGTCTCCTTGTGGGGCAGCAATAGCTGTTCAAATTGCTGAGTTAGGTCTCTGTGTGGAGGAGCCGATGGCTTTACGTGGCCAAGTTGGTTGGATGCGAGACCACGCATCCCCCCCCCCCCGAGTGTATTTTTTTTTATCTGTGAGTGTATCTGCATAAATTTGTGCTTCTGTAAATGTATGTATGTATCTGATATAGAAATCCATAAGTGTGAGACTGTTTGTATTTGTGTTTCTGTGAATGTGTGTCTCTGTATATATGTGTATGTCTTTTTATATTGTATTCATGTGTGAATTCATCTGTGAGTGCTTGCTTTTGTGACTGATTGCATTATCTATATGTGTGTATTAGTGAGTTAGTTCTCATTTATAAAAAAAATTAATCTTTTAAAAAAAATCCTATTTGCTAAATATAAAAGTGGGTTGCTAAGCCACAAAATGCCCTAATCTGTTTATTTTTCCCAGTCAAGCCCAAATGATCCACACAACACATAACCCCACAACTCAATGACAGCTACCAACAGACAGCAACACACATCCTTCACTGCTACTCACACTCATCAGTCACAACCTGCAGCTATCACCACACATAACCTGCACTTAAACTGCAGGGGCATGATCTATACACTAAAATCATTCCATTCGGCTAAAGTTATTTTGGTGCTTATCGTATCCCTTTACCCCTTAAGGACACATGACATGTGTGACATGTCATGATTCCCTTTTATTCCAGAAGTTTGGTCCTTAAGGGGTTAAAGACAATATTAAAGAAAGATCTAAAAATTAAAATAATGGTTAAAGTACGGAAAATTGAATGTATTTTTCTAAATACATTTCCAATTAACATTTGTAAAATTTTAATTTAATCACGATATATTGAAAATAGAATGTAATTGCTTCATCTAATTTAGTTGGAAAGCCAAAATAATGTGTGTAGGAAAGTGATGCCTCTGCTCGATAAGAATCAATAACCATGTAATCAATTTAGACAATGAACTCAGTACTGGAAAGAATTATGTTATTTTTAATTTCTATAATTACCCTTTGACTTTGATCATCCTACAATAAACACTCACTGTGCTTATAAAAGAAGCATGTGCTTTGGGCAAAAAAATTTGACTTAGTCTTAAAGAGCTAATCAATGCTTCCGCTTTTTAGATTATTTTGCTTTTTTGACTAAGACTGATTTAATGGAGTTCTTCATGCTGTAGATTTCCAGCTACTTGCAAAGATTAAAGCAATTGTCCATGATGGATGAAATGCACAGCGACACTGAGCTGTAATCCAAAAGTGGCATGACCCGAGGGTGTGCATGCTCGTCTTCCATTGTAGACTTTTATAAGGTCACAGCACAGGCTGGAGGGTGAACAAGCTTAGTAGGTTATTGATAAACAAAGCGATCATTAATAGAAAAACATTACAATCAGTGAAAAATATAAACACTTATCTATACATAACAAAATAACAAGCTAGTAAATAACAAGCTGCAAACTTAACAAATACATGACAATAATGTTAGATGTGCAAGCTTTATTGGCAGCTTGTTCTACCAAAATTCCATCGTCTTCTAGTTCAACTGGAACAGACACGATACATGCATCAAATGGACAAAGTGAAGACATTTAAGATAAGGGAGGATTTGCTGCGAGAGGCAGCATGACAATGTTCAAACATGGATGTCTTCGAAGGAATCTGCTGAGTAGTCATTACTGTAGCCCAGGATAATGTGAGGATATAGAGTAACATGCTAAACTACGCAGTAATCTATTGAATTTACAGCAAATTGAAATATATATATATATATATATATATATATACACACACATATATATACATATTTGTGTACAGCACATTTCGAGTTCATAAGGATCAATAATAAAGAAGCAATAGTAGTAAGAGAAAAGTCAGTTGAGGTGTGCCGAAACTGACGTGAGGTTAGACCTGTAAAAGAGTGCCCACCTAGGTGATATGAGAATAAATAGAGGGTGCTGTGACGAAGTGCCCTTTGCCACTTGTGCCTGGAGAGGACTGCTTGCCCGCCTCTTGCCCTGTGACTATGGCCCCTGGGATGTATTGCCCTTTAAAGACATGATTTGGGCATAATGGATTTGTGTTGTGCTGCTGCTGGCCCTTTAAGAACCATCTGGGGACATACTGTGGAGTTACTGGGTGGCCACCATTTCCTGTATCAGAAGCACATGGTGAGAACAATGGATGGAGGCCATTTTAACTCACAGACACTGTTTGGACTTTTCAACACGGTGCCATCTTGCCAGTATTTGGTGCACAGAGACATCGTGCAGTGGTTTTGGACTATACAGCAGGGGACACATTATACAGTGATTGTTTTTCATTTAGCCTGTATATGTTCTGCAGAATCTGCATTAAACTGTATTTTCCAAAGTACTGAACGGATCTGGGTGAATTTTGGATATGTGGTTCACCCAGATCCCCCGGTTCCAAGGATATACTTTTATGGGGTTATTGCATGTTTTGGGGTCCCTGTGATGTATATTTTAGAAGTTATGAATGCTGTAAAAATTGTAATGTTTCTGGCCAGCAGATAATTGAGCTTTGTGTATTGTAGAAACTCAATTATCTAGCCTGGCCCAGAGGAGGAGTTTTGTGTTGCATAAATTGTGAGTTCTGTGTGCCAGTAAATCAGTCTTGTTCCAGCATTAAACCTTGGCTCATGTTTGGGGGAAGGGATACCTACACTCTGGGGATTGCTATAATCACTTACTCCCCAGAGGAAGCTCTTGCAATAGCTTGATTTGTTCCTGTTCCTGCTCTCTGGGGAAAGAGAGGTTCACCCACTGGAAGCTGGATCCTGGCCTTGGGTCCAGGGTGGGTGGAAACAGCAGAGACCCCGGCGCAGTTGCATCGCTGGAAGTGGGGTCTGCAGTGCTGATGGTGTCGGTTGGAGTGCTTGGAGTCCTCAGCGAGCACTAGGAGCATCGATTGGCAGAGGTACTCAGTCGGAGTGCCAGCGTTCCGTCACAGGTGCGGTGTGAGGGTCACTTCTGAGATCGTCAAAGACAGGTAAGCAGGGGCTCACTGGGTTCAAGTAGGGTTCCATGTACCTCCCACAATTACAGGCCAAGCCTTCTATTTGTGTACCGCACATTTCGAGGACGTAAGGATCAATAATAAAGAAGCAATAGTAGTAAGAGCAAAGTCAGTTGAGGTGTGCCGAAGCTGATGTGAGGTTAGACCTGTAAAAGAGGGCATAATATAAAAAGCAATTCTTACAAGTCAGGTACATTTATACAGCAGGTCATTATTTAGACATTTCACAGAAAGTCAATCTTATTTCTTTCTCAGGATTGGGGATGTATTTGTTGTATGCAGATGATTTCCCCCGACTCATATTTTAATGATGTGAGTTGGTACGTGATTACCGGAAGCAGCTGTGGCTGCTCAAATGTGGATTAAATGGCCTGAGAAGGAATGAGGGTTATGTCCTAGTCGGAGTGATATCGTACAAATGTAAAGCATTATTGGTTAGTGGTTTCCCTTGAAAAGCTACTAGTGGGGAATCAGGGATGGAAGTGAGTTGAGATTCCAAAAGATTATCCAAAACGTGGATAGGACCTGATTTGGTAGAGGTAGGATAATATTTAATCTCTACTGGAGGACCAGTATGGCTCGTTTTGTTATGAGTAATAGACAAATATTTATACCTGTGAAGTAAGGTTTGATGGTATTGTAAACTAATTTAGGAGAAAAGTGGCAAAGTTGTAAATGCGACCATAGTTACAAATAGAAACATTTATCACACAATAAACACGAACAAACCTTTAAACAACTGATACACTCTTGGAATAGGCTTTCTTATATTAAGGTATAAACCAGCCTGTGCGAGCGACCTACTATGGAGCAACAGAGTATTTATCGCATAATTAGGACTGTGAAGCTTCGAGGTTTCTTGGGCTGCGAGTTTGCTGATGGGTGACCTCCGAAAAATTCCTGCAAATTATAGTGTGGGAGAGCATCAGCTGCGTTAACCTGAATACCCGGAATGTGAACATAAGTTATGCAGAATTGAAGATTTGCCGCTAGCCAGGTAAGACACCTTACCAAGTTCATAATCGAGAGGGACTGAGAGCGGCCTTTGTTAACGATATTACATGTCGCCAAGAGATTAGAAAAGCATCTGAGCTCTCCACTTTTTGCCCCGGATATGTGTAGCTGCCACAATTGGGTAGATTCAAATAGTGCTGATGTGGTATTGAAATTTATTTGCGAGGTAGACTCAATTGGCCAAGAAACGTGTACCCATTTGTAACCAACATTTGCTGCATAATCTATGGCACCTGATGCGTCAGTCCGGACCATAGGGGAATCGTCGGAAACAGGGGGAACAAGTAGTGACCTGCCATTCCAAGAGGACAGGAACAGACGCCACCTTCTTAATATCAGCTCTAGCTGGTTTGTCTAAGAGAGCTGTGAAGTCGTCGACAGGGAGACCATGCAAGAAAGTGATGATTCTGGAAATTAAAGACTTACCTTGTGGAATTATTCTCCCCGCAAAATTGAGTGAACCGGGTAGTGACTGTAGCTGATTCCTGGTGCAAGTGTCTTGTGACGTGCAGATGTTGATGTAAGAAAGAATTCTATCTACTTACACTTGTGGCAGGTTGGCCTGCATAGAAATAGAACTGAGTGTAAACCCCGGGAATGTGATCTCTGTGTTTTGTCCGGGCTATGGGTACTCCTAATCTTTAAACAGAGTGAACATGTGATTCAGGCTGTGAGCGTGCTTTGGTGTGGTTCGATGGTGAGGAAGTTGTCTAAGTAGCGTAAGTCTACTGGACATCTGCATATGTTCCGTAGGAGCCAGGTTTAAGGTTTTGGCGAAGATATCGCATAACTTGGGCTACATATGAAGCCGAATGTTGGTCTGGTAATGAAATAGTGGCTGTCTTCCCACTTAACTCCATGCAGATGCCAGATTGACTGAAGAATGGGTAGTAATTTACACGTGTTAGTAAAGTCTGATTTACATAACCAGGCAGCCTTCCCGGAATGAATGATTGCTTGTATGGCCTCGTTAATTCTGGTGAACTGAAGGAAAACTTATGACAGGGACAGAGTATTTAAGCTAGGAGAAGTGGGTGAGTGAGGTGAAGAAAAATCAAATGATAAGTCTCTTTAAAATGTAAAATTCCCTGAGGCGATTCCTAGGGGTTTGTCCTTTTAGGAGGTGTAAAGGTAGTGTTGTGAAAGGCCCTATCAAGAAACCATTGGTGATTTCATTAAGTAAGAGTTTTGTACTCTGATGGGAACTGTGAGTGCTGGCTGTAGGATGGGGTGTTCTAAAATACCTATGTGGAGTGACACAAACCCTGTGTAAAACCTGTTAGTAGACGTGAGAAATTCTACCAGTTGTAAAGAAGGACAGGTAGCGTTATAGATTAGGAAAATTTATTGGGGTGGAAGATTTTAGGGTACTGCCTGTAGGGGCACATAGTTTTTGGCGTGTGCACTGAAACAAAGTGAGCCCACGTGAAGAAGCCTACCAGCACTATAACTACAACCACCAGCATTGAAATAATTGCAGATTTGTGCTTCACCTAGAAACCAAATTGGCCTGCCTACTTTGTCTGAGCAAAATCCCTCTGGGATGTGTTGGACTGATAATCAGTGTTGGCTTACTGGTAGAGGGAATAGCTACGTTTCCAGGATGAAATTTGATCGTATGGGCTGTTGCTGAGCTTATGGCGCAGGGAGGTGTTTTGAGACCCGAAAAATGCCTTCAAAACCGTTCCGTGTGTAACTGACCCCAGTTGGTGTTTGTATAGTACTCTCTGTGAGCCTGAACTGAGATGGGTGCTGGTAACTGACAGAATGTCTTCTTGTATAGAAACATTAGACATGCTAAGGAAGTGAGGCAGATGACTTGGTTAGTATAGATCTGCAGTGACCCAGCTTACTAGAGTAGTGCCTACAGGCGAAATTGTATTAACTAGCTTATGTTGGTGACAGGTGACACTCTGACTACTTGCCAAGTGGCTTTGAGAGGCTCTACCTATGATTTGGCTCATGGGCCCTTTGTGCCACTGAGGTGGGTGGCGGACTGTTGGCCTCTCAGTTACATGTAAAAGATTGCAAAATCGCTTGACCGTGATGGGTGAGGCCCTAACTATGACTTGATGCAAGGCTATAACTATGCGTTGGGCCGATTGGGCTCGAACCTCTGATCGGAAGGCTGATTGTATGCCTTGCGGGACCACTTGACTTATAGGCGAGGAGGACTATGGGATGATACCTAAATTGGCGAGAGCTTAAACCTTGTTCTAACCCCAACTGGTTTTATTTCGTTAACGTTCCTGCTAACAGGTTTGAGCTTTGGTGTTTAGCGGTCTTGTAAAAGTGTGTAAAGTGTATAATTGTGCACAACACCCTACCTACTGACTGACACCCTAACTACTGACATTACATTGACGACACCAAAACTACTGTACGACATAATTGTAACACCATAACCATTACCAATTGATATTGCAACTATAACACCATGATTATCTAACTGTACAATAATTATTAACCGTACCATAACTTCTGACAGTAGAGACGAATTGTTGAAACGTTATGCGATCGGTTGGTTAACGTTTGGTTATTGTGTAGATGATTGAATGAAATGAAACATAGTTGCATTGATAATTGTATGGTCTTTGGAGGTTTTGATTTTGTTTTATATGTGGGCGACGTCGTAATTTTGTGCCACGTATGAGGATCCTGTGCGGCTTATCCTGGTAAGGTGATAACTTGAAACTAATGAGATTTATTTATAGTACATGTTACCAGAAGAAAATACATGAAATTTAGGTAGGAATTTCCGAGGCCTACCTCTTTAAGTAATGTGGTGTATTTAACCCATGAGGCCCCTTAGCAATCAGTAATTGTACGACCTTTAACAGGAGGGAAAAACGTACTTAATTGTCATCTTATTTATATACAGCCAAGTGTAATTAGGAACATGAGATGCCGGAGACAGGATTAGAGCGTAATATAAACTTATTAACACTCTTATATGTCAATATTAACAATGCTGTATAAACGGAATGAACTTGAACTGCTAGGTATGAGGCAGTTAATACAAATAAACAAAAGTTTGTGCGAAAGTGTGACTATGTGTATACATAAGCATTTTATGCGAACGGATAATATATACAAAAGTTTAACTGAAATGCCAGTTAGCAATGCACAAGACGGAATCTAAGCATAA